TGTTGATTCATTCAAGCTTTTAATCAGCATGGCCTAGACGTTAGAACTTCATAAAGCTAACATTGAAGCTGAATGCTGCTGGAGTATAGTGTTTCGAATATTCAAAGCGGAGCGGGACACTATACTCGTTCAATGGGTCATCAAGCCACAGTCTTTTCAACAAAGAAATTATTTTACGAAAATGCGTTATATTTTTACGATTTTTTCGTCACCAAATCTCTGTTTCTCAAAATGTACGTCTATTGTAGAATTTTCAGCAAACTAAGCAAGAAACGTGATCTAGTATTTACTCAACATTACGGATTTCTCGAGCAAATTCGCCACACCAGGCAACTGTGCTATAAACAAACCCTGTTTATCACTACTATTTGATAGTCATATGGTAGTTGTAGCCCTATCTAGCGGTCCATGATTTCTCTCAACACTGTTGTATCTCTACTGGCAACAAGAATAGGGATTACAAAATCATTTATACAACAATATACAAACATGAAGAATATGATTTGAACCATGAAACATTAATACAATTTTAATAGTTTGAACTTTTTTCATTTTTGGAATACTCTTATGTGGAATCCGCAGCTATTTTTCCCGAAATTTGGGTAGACTTAGATTTCTTAGAAATATGACATATTGGTATCGGCAACTCTGTGAATGGGAGAAACAAATCACATTTGTTGAGCGCATCCGTCTAAGCGGTAGGCGCCAGCGCCCGTTCTGCCATCTCTCTCTTTTATCACTCTTCTACTTTACCCCGTTGTCCGTCACACTCCGACGCTGCCACATAGGATCCTACAATCGAGTGTCTTTCACGCACCTACATACTTTTGTATATTTCCATCTCTCTTCCTCATCATAATGTATAATAATGTTTTTCCCAAGGTGTATATATATATATATATATATGTTTAAGAGTTCATTCTTGAGACTATACGCTCACAATGGTCTTTAAAATTTATGTTTGCGTCAATATATTCCCAGGAACTTTATTCGAGTCTGAGCGGGTTTTATTGAGCTATTGACATTAATGCAAATACCCCTGTTCTTTTCTGAACGTTATGAAATCCTACAAGTGATGTCTCTTCTTGATTCAATTAACATATTCGGAAAGGAGCTGTTCTGAGCTTCAGGAGTCGCGTCCAACAGTGGGTCGCTGCTAACGTTCGCCATCTTTATCTTTAATTATTAATAAGTGTAAGATGACCTACGCTGTCGGCTATGCAATTAAAAACATTTCTTTCGATAGACCTAGATGCCTCTCGTGTAACTCTTTAAAACGTGCTTAGGAATCTGCTACACTCTGTGTTAAAGCGCTACCACTTGTGTTAGCTTTGTACTGTTAGAAGTAGCCAATTTTATTTAAATTCAAGATCACTTTAGAATTACTTATACCAAGTTTTCATAAGCAGCTATTTGAGTTTGTTCAATCTGATTGCGTACCGGAGCTTTACTAGTTGTATGCAAAATACCTAACTCGTATAAAGCGTCGCTAGGAAGCACGAAGCAATGTGTGTTGTCACGTGTTGAAGCATGGTAGCGAATAGTGTAAACTTTGAAATTAACGGCTTTTTGCAGAAACCCACTAAATATGGAAAATCTAGATCTTAGGAAAATAAACTATTACGAGCAATAACATTTACTGTAAAAAAGATCCATACGCATATTTAAAGCCTTTAGTAGGCCATTGATTAAAATCGTGTTTGGTTGAAATTAATTTGTAATGAATGTCAAAACCTAATTGCTCAATAATTGCTATTCTGGTTTGGTTCCTTTCTGCAAAAAGCCGTCCAAATTAGTAGTAACTTATACGTCAAATAAGTCTGAATTCAGATATAAAGTAATATGATTGATAATATGATTGGCCTTTTTTATATCGAAGCAGCTACTCAGGCATAAGCCTAAATACCGGGTCACTGCGGGTGCGGCTGCTATGAGGAGCTTCAAAAAACTTTGTTCATCCGATTTTCGAATTGCCTGGTTAGTAGTACTGGGAAGAGTTATTTCAGGTAGAGTGTTCTTCAGTCTCGATACCCTAGCGGCTACATTATATTGTTTTATATTAGCCATTTTTTCCTCAGTTGGCTGACAGCGTTCATGCAAGATGTCTCGAAAGTGTGTAAACAATCCAGATCAGTTTTGTTACGTGTGTGGTGATGTGACTTTTGCATCTCAGAGACGGTCTATTACTCCAATAATAACAAAGGCATATCAGCTTTATTTCGGTTGTAAACTAGGTGATCAAGACAAACAGTGGGCACCCCACATCTGCTGTAATACATGTGCTTCAAGTCTGAGGAGCTGGTTAAATGGCAAAAAACGGTCTATGCGCTTTGCTGTCCCAATGGTTTGGAGAGAGCCTACAAATCATATCAATGATTGTTACTTTTGGATGGTACCTTGTGTTGGACAAGCCACAGGTATGTCAAAGAAAAAAAAATCGGTTATTAACTACCCAAACATACCGTCTGCGATGAGACCTGTGCCTCACAGTGACGAAAATCCTATTCCAAAACCCCCAGAATCCTACACTTGCGAATAAGAAAACGAATCAGATCATGGCGATCGAGTGATTCGTCAGGAAGAAGATATGCCATCAACGTCAAGAGATCCTGATTTTATACCGAGCACGTCATGCCACCAACCGCACAAAATAACACAGTCAGAATTAAATGATCTTGTAAGAGATTTAGAACTTCCAAAATGTAAGGCAGAGTTACTTGGATCAAGACTGCAGCTGTGGAACTTGTTAGAAGACGATGTTTCGGTATGTGTTTTTCGTAAACGCCACAAAGACTTAGAATCATTTTTCAATATGGAGAATAACTTGGTTTTCTGCAGTAACATTAACGGCTTACTGGCGGCTTTAAATATAAACTATCACCCAGAAGAACGGAGATTGTTTATAGACAGTTCAACATTGAGTTTAAAGGCAGTGTTATTGCATATTGGAAATATTTTACCATCTCTTCCTGTAGGGTATGCAGTTCACATGAAAGAATCATATGACAATATGAAGTATCTATTGACATGCATAAAATACTATGAGCACCAATGGCATATTTGTGGCGATTTGAAAGTTGTTGCACTTTTACTTGGGCTGCAGCTAGGCTACACAAAGTTTTGCTGTTTTTTGTGTGAATGGGACAGTCGGGCATATGCACTTCATTACACCAGACAAAACTGGCCTGTTCGTCAATTCCTAGAGCCAGGTCAAAAAAATGTACAGCATATGCCATTAGTAGATTCGAAAAAAAATTTATTACCACCACTGCATATCAAGTTGGGCCTAATAAAAAACTTTGTCAAGGCATTAGATAGAGATGGGTCAGCTTTTCAATACCTGCGTCAGAAATTTCCAAGACTAAGTGAGACAAAGGTTAAAGAAGGTATTTTTGTTGGGCCACAGATTCGAAATATTTTGAAAGATACACAGTTTGAAAACACTTTAACAGGTATTGAAAAAACTGCTTGGAATGATTTCCGTCTGGTGGTCACTAATTTCTTGGGAAATAGAAAAGCTGACAACCATAAAACCCTTGTCAAAAATATGCTGTCATCGTATCAAAAGATGGGCTGTAATATATCTCTTAAGATACATTTCCTACACTCACACCTGGACTTTTTTCCTGACAATTGCGGAGCCGTAAGTGATGAGCACGGCGAACGTTTTCATCAGGATATTTCAACAATGGAAAAAAGGTACCAGGGAAAGTGGAATCCTTCCATGCTTGCAGACTACTGTTGGACTCTTGGTAGAGATGCTCCAGAAACGATCCATAAAAGAACAGCAAAAAGACAGCGCATATAGTGATTTCTTATAAGTATATGAATCTTGTTACTTTTTTATCCTTAAAAATAAAAAGTTTTTTTTCTAAACCGAAACTATTTTTTTATTTCATTGTCATTTTTGGATTCAGCGCCCCAAAATTAACAAAGGACTGCACTTTTCCCACAAGATACAATTAAAAAACTAAAATTTGTTGTCCAGTGAATTGTTATTCTGGTATGGTTCCTTTCTGCAAAAAGCCGTCCAAATTAGTAGTAACTTATATGTCAAATAAGTCTGAATTCAGCGTATATCTAGATATAAAGTAATATGATTGACAATATGATTGGCCTTTTTTATATCGAAGCAGCTACTCAGGCATAAGCCTAAATGCTAGGGCACTGCGGGTGCGGCTGCTATGAGGAGCTTAAAAAAACTTTTCTCATCCGATTTTTGAATTGCCTGGTTAGTAGTACTGGGAAGAGTTATCTCAGGTACAGTCTTCTTCAGTCTCGATACCCTAGCCACAAAGTCGTAACGGCCAGTTCTGGATGAACGAAGCTCGACACGGTTAAGCCGGGAGGCCAAAGTCAGGCAGCTCTATCTTGCAGGCATATTGCGCGACGGCATAATGTATAACAGCTCTGCGGAGCAAAGTCGTTGGCATAGGGTTAGAAGAGAGCTAGATCTCCGACGGCCGGAAAGGGTGTCAAGGCTGTTAGTTAAAGAAGAGTTATCGATTAGTCGGATAATGCTCCTCTGAACTTTATCGAGCATGGATAATGTAGTCGGGGTGGTAGTATCTTGAACATGTCAGCAATACTCGAGGCTCGGTCTTATTTGAGGCTTGAACAGAGTGAGGAGGTACGTGGAGAAAAGTACTTCTTAGCCCTAAAAAATAACCTAGCTTTTCCCAGTAGCTGCTCCATTGACGAGATGTGCTCGGGCCAGAATCAAGTCCTCGGTGATCTGGACTCGGACTAGCCGAAACGGTAGAACTTGGCTATCCATCTGATACTTTGAGTTGCTCTGATAAAACGGCCATCAATTGCTGATCACAGAGCGTTTCATTGCTATCAACAATACGACAGAACGATTGGTATCAAGATCTGCAATTCTGTTAAGATAAAGTACTCAACTGTCCAATCATTCAAACTAGTGGATCCATGTCATTATATTCAGACTACTACTAAATTTGAAAAAAAAACGGGTATCAGTTTCTACTTTTTCAAAACTCGTGTCTTCATACTGCGCAACACAAATCATGCCCATGAATCGATTCCATCTACCGCGGATTATAGTTGATTTGGAAGTTACATGGCTCAAAAGTAACTAATAACAAAAACATTGTTTCTAAATTGTCCGCTTAATGTCGGTAACCAAGCGGTGATTATTGCATCCACTTTCTTCATCAAAATAAGCATAGCAAGAAACCATTTACCATAAAGCAACGATCCAATCAGATCAACTACTCCACTCTGGAGTTGGAATATTCACCCCAATTACATTTTATATTTTCGTTCTAACAGCGTCGAAACTTTCAATCCGGAAGCCAGCAACTTTTACCTTGTAACTTTCCAGAACTAAATAGTTTATTATGTTAGCATATTTATCCAAGAAATTTTTAATTGGGCTCCTAAATTTGTGCAGCGTAGTTCAGAAGAGGGTTTTCGGAAGTTTGAGTGATTTTATTTCTTGTTACAACTAGTTTAAATAGCTTTGGTAAAAACGATGTAGCCTCCTGGCCGTATTGCCCCAGTTTGGTGGATTACAGATGAATTAGGTTTTGTTGACTATACAGCTGTGGCGACTTCGTGATTGATGATAGTTCAGGGTAAGAAGTATTTCTGAAAATTATCATATTAGGGTTAAGGATAGATTGAGTGAGACAAATAAGTTTTGCGGTCATGTATTTTAGAAGAACATCACTTGTTCTTATTAGACTGCAGTTTTAGGAGAGATCCGGACAAAGCATACACCCCAAGCAAAGCCATGATTATCTACACTACATCATGAGCAGAAAATCGTAACCACGGATATACAAATATTCGTCCATCTCTATTACCGAAATAAGGGCAAAAAAGATACACCGTATTCGTATTTTCACTTTCAATGTTATTTATATGCTGCAGATGACACATAAATAGAATTTAATTTATTATTTTATTTTGTAGTTAATTTATACAAAGCAGCGATTCTGTTAAAATAACCTACTGGTGCTGTCATGAATGTTCAAAGTTTGAGGGCACTGATGGTGCTTTTACCGTCTATTTTTGTATAAAATGAAGCTTTTAACCATTTGCAATATGTATTCACTTATGTTTGATCCGGGGAATGTGGATAGTCTGCATCGTTTTATTTTTATGTTATGTATGTAGCTACACACAACAACAGATCATTTTCGGAACACAAACAGGTACATAAGGATCAATTCAGTTATTTTTCTCCTAAATTCACTCAGTGGCGGCTCGTGAGGTAGTACCATGGTGCCATGGCACTACCTTGTCTTCTTCAAAAAGAATATTTTTTTCAATCTTCAATGTTTTACTTTATTTTCTGCTTTTTCATTTTTTTTGGTATAAATTATATGAAGTGACAACACTGACAACGTGACAACACCGCAAGCACCCGCCCGCACCCGACCGACGCGACGAGACGGAAAGCATGCCTTGACCTTGACGTCATCAACTTGTGCCAATTTTGGGCCGGCCCAAATAAAAAGAGAGAAATTTTACCAGCATCGCATACGAGCGACAGAGATAACGCTGCGCTAGACATTTTTATATGAGGTGAATAGCGAAAGACAAGTATAATTTGTGCCAGGCACATCATCAGTCGTAATTCGTTATCAAATGATATCGGCGGTGTTTTTGTTCGGTCGGTCGTTTCGTTATGATTACGTCTAGTGCTGATTTCGGTCTTTTTTTACCTGAAAAGTGAGAAATAACATTTTTGTTTTAGTACGTCTAGTGTTAATCAACTGCTCTGTTTTGTGATCATATTTTTTACTGTTTTATTAAAACTAGTGAAAATGAATAAAATCGGGATATTAGAAAACTCATTTAGTGGTTTTTCGCTGGATCAAAAACTGCAAATAAAAGAATTAGGACGGCCAATACCCGATTTAAAAATTGAGAAACAAAGTGGTAGCGGACAAAAATCGCGCTGTCGCAAATTTAATAAAAATGTGTACGATAAAAACAGCTGGATATGTGGTTGTGAAGAAACGAATAAACTATTTTGTTTTGTATGTGTTCTATTTGGAGGTGACGAGACTTGGTCAAAAAAAGGTACAGACGATCTCATACATATATGGGATAAAATGAAGACCCACGAAAAATCTAAAGTCCATATGAATAATGTTTTTAGCTTTTCTATTCTTGGTAAATTAAATATAAGGACTCAACTCAATTCGGCTTATCGCAATGATCTAATTAAACATAATAATCAAGTGGATAAGAATCGATATGTATTGAATAAAATTATTAATTGTATAAGGTTTTGTGGAGCATTTGAGTTAACCTTAAGGGGTCATGATGAAAAGGAAAATTCGGAAAACAGAGGCATATTTAAGGAGCTGGTGAATTTTAGCGCCGAATTAGACAACGAATTGAAAGTCCATATGCAAAGTGCCAAACTTTTTAAGGGTACCTCAAAAACAACTCAAAACGAGCTTCTTGAGTGCATGCTAGATGTTTATCATGAAGAAGTTAAGAAGGAGATTGCAAATTCTCCTTTTGTTGCAGTAATTGCCGATGAAACGACGGACGTAGCCTGTGAATTTCAGTTAGTTATTATTTTCAGATATTTGTGTAAAGGACAACCAGTTGAGACATTTTGGAGATTTTACGTCCCCGATGGACACGATGCCAAAATCAATCGCCGCATGCGTTTTAAATGTTGTAAATCCATTATCAGATCAAAATCCAAACAAATTAATAGCTCAAAGCTATGATGGTGCATCTGTTATGAGTGGTGAATTGAATGGCGTTCAGAAAATTATTAAGGAAACTTATCCACTTGCAAATTATGTTCATTGCTATGCACACCAGTTAAATCTAATTATGACAAGCGCATGCTCTGTCAATAAGCAGGCTAGAATATTTTTCCATAATTTATCTGGATTGTGCTCTTTTTTTTCGACGTCTCCTCAAAGAACAAAAATTTTGGATGAAATAGTTAATCGCAGATTGCCAAGATCTTCCCAAACACGTTGGAATTTTCAGTCACGAGGTGTTCATACAGTTTATGAAAATAGGAAAGACCTGATTGAAGTTATGGACAATATAGAAAGTACTTCACGCGATTCTTCGTCGATTAATCAAGCCAGTGGGTACAAATTAAAGCTGCAAGATACAAATTTTGTATTTTGGTTAAGTATTTTCCATAAAATAATGCCACATGTTGAAATTGTCTTTAACCAATTACAAAAAGTACGCACCGATTCTGTTAAGGTCAAAAATGATTTAGAGAATTTTGAAGCAGCAATTCAAACTATACGAGAACAAATGGATAGCATTATTGACGAGATTGAACGATTGAACGGGAAGCGTTAGAAATATGCGATGCAGTATTATCGCAAATAAGAACAAGATTTAACTTTTCTGGGCATTTAGTTGCTTCTAATTTATTTGTGTCTGAAAAGTTTTCTGTTTATAAACATCAGTTTCCTGAAGCACATTTAAATGACACATGCACACAATTTTCATTTTTAGACAAAAACAGGCTTAAAACTGAGTTACAAGTATTATATCAGAGAGAAGAATTGAGTACTACTTCTGGAGCTGTTCCACTATCCATTTTATTGAACGAGGAAGGATTAAATTGTACGTTTCAAGAAACTCTTAAGCTCTTAAGTATTTTAATCACTATACCGATGTCAACATCTGAAGTAGAACGCTCTTTTTCAATGCTGAAACGGATTAAAACTTTCCTCAGAAACACAATGAAGGAAGAAAGGCTTAGTGCTTTAGGAATGCTGTCTGCAGAAAAACATTTTGTTAGTGGCATTGAAAATTTTAATAATAAGGTAATCGAAAACTTTGCTACCAAAAAAGAAATAAGAATGGACTTCATATATAGAAAACTTTGAAGTTATAGGTACTTCTCCACACTTGTTTTATAATTTGGTGCGCGTGTGTAAATAGTTTTATTTTTGATTTTTTTTTGGACATATAGATTTATTGAACCTCAAGAACTTTGACCACTAACTATCAGGGGTAAGTTATAAGTTATTCTTTACAATTTTGAATCGATTCAAAATTATGGCTTCCATTCTGGCACTACCTCACTGAATTGGCACAAGCCGCCACTGAATTCACTAACACTCGTGTAATAATAGCAGAATGCTTAAAGTGTTTACTTTGCACGGGTCTCCCTTATGTGTTATCAAGTACTCATTGTATGCCCATAATATGGGTCGGATATTTCAAGCCCAACATAATATATTTTATCTACATTTAGTAGACAATTTTGTGACTCGCGATGTGCTTAGAGTAATTCTGTAGATCTCTCTGCCTGAGCAGCATACAACATGAATTCATTACGAGGATGTTCCAGCATATTTTTGGTGGAGATATGTTTGATACGTGCATCAAAAATTTAATGTACTTATTTAATACTTGATTATACTTCCCAACCTAGGTACGTAATATAGGATTCCATATGCTTACCTCCGGATTGCAAAAGTACATGCACTTTGTTAACTCGTATGCTGCTACACACTTGTCGTCGAGTGTTTTAGCTATAAAAAAAAATATTGTATTACCAATATATGAGTTGTCATGTCTGGCATCTGTTATTAAACACAGGTACCAACTGCTAAATAAACAGGAAATAGATTTAAGACAAAAATATCCAATAATGTCACCGAATACAGAAAATATTGGTTATACAGGGTGGCCCAGCCATGCGTGGATGGAATATTACTTATAAACAAATACATTTTGGGAAAATGGATTTATGGCATGTTGTATTTGACATTTGAGGGCACGTTTATAAAATATTAGCAATTATACAGGGTGTTCAAATTTCGACCTACATATCAAAGTTGTGATCTTTTAAATGGGTTACTTCAAATTTTATTGCATATTTGGATAAACCAATTGAAAAGAAGAAGATTGATATAACATACTATGGGGTTTTGGTAATTAGCTACTGAGGTGTAAAGTGTTTTGTCCAGGAAAACCGTCCAATTCGGCAACCCCTAAATCCGCCATTTTAGAATTTGGAGTGCTGAATTTTGTATCATAAAAAACTTACACACCTCAGCTTTTATCCTATTTGTTACGTTTTCGATTTTTCATTTTTGCTCATACAAAAGGTTGTGTATATTGGTGCATTTTTGCATTAAATTTTTTATTAGCTTTTTTTGGTATAAGGTTTGATTCAGATAATTTGACTAGGTTTTGAGTTATTAAGCTTTTAATAGAACAACACACCAAAATTAAGGACAAAAAATCACATCATCCATGGAAACAAAAGACAAACAGTGGGCTTGTTCCATATTGCCACTAAGAGTTCAGATTTGACGTAAAAACTATTGACAATCAGAACAGTATAAATCAGCTTCAAGCGTAATAGAGAAAAAGAACTATAATAACAACATAAACAAACAACTGTCACTACTCAAGACCTAATCTACAAAAACTGCTCGAAAATGTCTCCACCATGTTGAATACACAACCGTAGCCTTTGGATAAATCACCGTTGCACATCCCGTAGCATGTGTTCCCTAATGTTCAGAAAAGCATCCTTAATCCTTTCCTTCATATTTTCCGAGATAAATGAAGAATATCTATAGATCTCTTGCTTAACGTAGCCCTATAGAAAGAAGTCCATCGGTGTCATATCTGGTGATCTAGGAGGCCAAGATATAGACCCATCACGACCGATCCAACGATTGTTACTCCACGTGTCCAAATAGTTACTTACACACACGACTATGATAATGCGCAGGTGCTCCGTTATGTTGGAAGGACATATGCATCCGAGTTTGCAGGTTAACATCCTCCAAAAGCAAAGCCAAATGCTCGATCAAAAAATTCAAGTATTCAGTACCTGTTAATCCGTTGTCGAAAAAGAAAGGTCCGATAAATTGTCTGCCAATAACTCCTCCCCAAACATTCAAGCTCCATTTATTTTGGAAATCTATTTGCCTAACCCAGCAAGGGTTTTCCGTCGCATAATACTGAATGTTATGCCTGTTGACAATACCCATGCTGTTAAAGTTGCCTCATCGCTAAAAAGGACCTTATCCAGGAAAGTAGTGTCTTCACTCACTTTACTTAGCATTATTCTACTAAGGTGATATGAATGGTATCTATGCTTGTGATTAATTCTGTTGACCGTTTGTAACTAATCAACAATTCATTTTTTTCCAAGGATGATGCGATATTTTAGAGAATTAAGCCGTTCCATAGAAGACGTGCTAATAACCGAAAAAATAGCCTAAAAACCTTTATTTGTCTAGTATCAAAAAAGATCTTATAAAAAATTGAATCCAAACTTGCACAAATATACAGGGTGATGTATTTGAAGTTTTTGAGAAAAGCTACAATTTGCGTTCTTGACCACCATGTGTGAGCAAAAATTAAAATTCGAGAAAGTAACAAACAGTATTAAAGCTGAGGTATGTAGGTTTTTTTTGATACAAAATTCAGTACTCCAAATTTTAAAATCGCGGATTGAGGGGTTGCCGAAGTGGACGGTTTTTCTGGACAAAACACCTCATATCTCAGTAGCTAATTACCAGAATCCCCTAGTATGTATATCAATCTTCTTCTTTTGAGTTGGTTTATCCAAGTATGCAATAAAATTTGAGGCATTCCATTTGAAAAATCACAACTTTGATATGTTTGTCGAAACTGGGACACCCTGTATAATTACCAATATTTTAGAAATGTGCCTTCAGATATCATGTCTAACATCCCATAAATAGATTTTACCCAAATTTATTTGTTTATGCGTAATCTTCCGTCCACTCATGAATGGGCCACCCTGTATACCGAACTACCTCAAAATAGGAGGTAGAAAGTACGCGAAAGATGCGTAAACTCATTTAAAAAACGATTAATAAAGCAATAGGTAAATATAAACTAGTAGCTGAAAATACAATAAAAATATATTCGATCATCCAAAAACCACAAAACCTTTTGCTGTAAATTATTTTTCGAAAATACACAAAACACGCTAATAGATATATCTATCGATCCGCGCCTCATTCCTGAAACATTTCTAACTATTGGAAACATCTCCACCAGACTTGCGGTTGGAATACATGCACAAAGGTGAGGTACGTTGGAAAAACCTGGTAAACTACCGCGTGTCTTCAATATTTGTGAAATGAAATAAATTACGTCCATTGTTTTCATCTTAATCCTTTACTGAAGCTTAAAAATTGTGCATTAAAAGTAATATTAGACAAATGTCCGCCTCTAAAAGCCGCGCAAACCTGAGCCCTCTTGATTATATTTTCCATCACTTTTTGGTAGCTTTTGGGGGCAATATTTTCAATCGCACCTTCGGCTGCCGTACGGTATTTGGTTTGTAGGCATAAACCCCATTTTTCGAAAATCCCCATAAAAAAGTCAGGAGTCGTTAAATACGGTGACCTTGGTGGCCAGTTGACATCACCAAATCGAGAAATTAAAGTCCCGGCAATATTTTTCGCAAAAGATTCATTGTTTCCTTAGCTGTGTGACAAGTTGCTACGTCCTGCTGGAACCATACGTTTTGCAGGTTAAATTGTTGGATTTGAGGAGCCAGAAAGTTTGGCACTATATCACGGTAGCGCTCGTCAGTGACAGTAAGACAATTACCGGCAGCGTCTTCAAAGAAATAAGGTCCAATGACACTTCAAACTCTGTCTCGACTAGGATGTAGTGGACGTTGATGCATGACGCGAGGGTTCTCTAATACTCAGATATGACATTTCTGCTTATTAAAAAATCCGTTCATATCACTTCACCGCTCATTATCAGCTGTCGGTAAATATCGTTATTTTGAGTATTAGATAAGCTGCAATATTACATGACTGTATTGTCGGCGACTTTCATGGTCACCGGGTTGTAGTTCTTGGGTAACCTAATTTTGTATGACCACAAATGCAAAATAGTGCATAATGACTCGCGACGAATACCCAGTTCTTGAGAACGATGCCTGGTAGACGTCTCAGGGCGCTCCACTACACTTCCACTAACTCTCTCGATATTTTACGGAGTACGAACACGTCGAACTGTTTCTTCGAATTTTCGCACCAACTGACGAATGGTGTTGACACTGGGCACATTATTTCGACCGAAATCTTGCCGTAGACTCATTATTTTTGATGAATTGGACATATAATGTGCTTTAAACAACTACTACGGCTCCACCTACTGAAATGCGTGTATCAAAGATAGCGCGCAATTTGAATCAGTCACTTATATATTGGCTACCCTGTATGTGTTCATCAAATCGAGTCCCACCTAATAGCTAGCAAAGCTTTCGGGAAAAAAGGGAAAGTCGATAGATTATTATTAACATTTCCAACAATCAGCATAGTTTATGCATTTGAAAAAATCACTTACGATAAAATATTTCTTTAGTTCCTTTGTAGTTTGAGAGTGGTGCTATATTATACATATTGTATAACCAACTGCTTATTTTCGTGAATAAGATTACGTATGTCTTAGAAACACGTGCAGGTACTTTTTCACGTATTTTTTACCACCTACAAGGGGTATTCCGTATATATCCGCTGTAATTTATATCCAATGACTTCAGTAAATATTAATTATTAATTTCAAGAAGAATTGCTTATTATTCAATAGTGGGTGATTACTATAATACAGAGATGACGCGATTTTCGAGTTTCCAGTATTTTATGACATCCTTCTAATAATTAACAATGGCTTGACACGGTGCTCATATCTTTGAAGAACTTGGAAGTAGGGTAAGTGTACCAGTGAATGAACGCGTTAGGCCTTTTTCAAAGTAACCACTAATTTTATAAATCCATATTATAAGGTAACATTTAAAAAAAATACTAAATACTCGCTGTTTCAGTTGAGAATATATATTTAAAATCACATTTTCACAAACTTACATATTATTCAGTAAAAAAATAAAATAATTAACCATTTCACTAAATCCTAGTTAATGATCACGTGTTGCCAGTAAATGAACAATGTGTATCTAGTAAATGAACATAAATTCTAATAAATGAACAATGGGTATCTAGTAAATGAACTAACTGAATCCTACACATTTTTGGTACTATATCTAGGTTGCGTTAACTTAAGATTAGAAATCTATAACTATAGATTGATTTAGATATGACCAGGTGCCTATTCTAAAGGTAAGTATTTCTCTATTTCATTGCATTCAAATATGCCCCTACGAATTAATCTTGGTTCAGTAATTTGTTCTAAAATAGACGCTTTATTGTACCAAATTTGATCAACTCGACCGGGCCATTTAAAATGATATTTTCCTTCAATATCAACCTTGCACATAGTCTGCACTTCGTATTCCTCGCCTTCTATATTCTTGACGATTCCTGGAAACGGCTTTTCATCATAAAGGACGATTACATAGGACCCAGTATCAGGTCCAGATGAGTTTGAATTTTCTTCTGCGCCGATATTATTTTCCTTCATATCGAGCGAGTCATTTCCATCACTTTTGCGTTCTGTATGATTCTTAATGTTGTCTTTTATCTTAGTTTTAGGTTTAGGATTAATCTTCTTGGTTTTAGCCTTCAAATTGACCTTCAATTTTCGTTGTACTCTCAGTTCTTCTTTTTTCTGTTTCACTGCTTCTTTCTTATCCATAAATTCTTTAAACTTCTTAGAAGTAATTGCGTACGGCATACGAGTGTTATCGTTAGATTTACGTTTTGTAGACTTCACTGGTTCACTAGGCCAACGCAAATGTTGCGACCACACCTCTTTCTCATCTATAACCTTTTTCGGGAGCGTATTTTCTGAAATGTTGTCCGCTTCCACTGGCTTCATTGAAGTTTCCTTTTCTAATACTACGTTACAATATTTATCCTGCGAAATATTATCTTCCGCGTTGTTTTGTTCATTGTGTTGACTTTCAATCTTCTGTAGTTTTTCAGGTTTTGTCACGCTGTAGTTTTGTAAAATACTTTCAGATTCATTAATCAAATTAACATCTTCCATCGTAAGCTGGTCTCCCCCTCTATTCTTCACCAGGTCTTCGAGGGTAACAACACTGTGTACAATAATTTTTTTCGAAGGTTCTTCCGTAGCGCAGCTTACTGACTCGTCTAATTGTTGGTTTTCCGTAGCACTACTGTACACTATCCCGTCGAGTTCAATAGGCATACTATTAATATCGAATTCATTGAAATCAGAAAAATCATTTATTAGTGATTCAAATTGATCAGTTTCCTCTCTGGGTATTTGAACAGTTGCGTCTTTGCACAAACTCCAAATGTGAAATAGTTGGTTTGTAGATGAATCTCCGATATCTCTCAATCGACTAAACTGGTCTAATAAGGGTGGATCCATATGATGTTCGAGAACTTTAAGAGTACTTTTATAATCTGCAGAATTAACAGGATTTGCAATAGTTCGCACAACTTCAAACTCCCGAATTTCTTTCCGCCTGTTCGAAATACATTTCGAATAGTCTACTGCATTTGGGTCAAAAGGAAATAAACCGGTTACTCGAAATCCAGCCATTATTGTTTCAGGTTTGATGGCTTTATCAAAAGCATTTTTAAATAGAGGTGCAAAGTTGGTTTTTGTGATAGACTTTTGTGAATCCTGTTTTTGCCTCATAACAACATCTTTCCAGGCTACTTTCAAAGCTTTGAACACCGCGACGTCACAGGGTTGGAGTATGTGAGTAGCATTAGGCAGCAAACAAAATAATATAATATTGTTTTTTATGCAAAAGTTGAAAAGATCCATGCTTATGTGCGATTTGTGTCCATCTAACAGTAACAAAACGGGTAGTTTTATATTATTTTCTTCCAACCATGGATAGAAGATATTGGCTACGAATTCGTAAAATGTCGCACTCACCATCCACCCTGAATCCGACCGACCTATTCCCCAATTATCTGGCATAGATGTAACAATATCCCGAGGTATTCTTTTGTATGGATACACCACCATCGGAGGTACACAGACACCTGCCGCCGAGAAAGTGCAAAGGACGGTAATGCACTCTTTCTCTGGTCCACTTGCCAGCTCATAAAAGTTCTTATAATTTTTTGGACCTAACAATTTTCCCGATTTTGGACATGTCTGCAACCCTGTCTCGTCTGCGTTAAAAATTCTTTCAGGGCATGATAGAATATCCTCAGCATTTTCGCTGATTAGATAATCCTTTAGTTCACCGAACCATGTCCGAATGCCTTCTTCTGTAACTGACCTTTTGAAATTATTTCAGTGTTTCGCTGCGTAACATTGGGGTGCCTTTGAAGAAAAAGTTTCATCCATTTTTTTCCTGGCCTATCATCTGTGAAAACATTTGGTCGTTTCACAATTTTCAAAACTCGTTGAACTGAATCTTTAACTTCGTCTGGGTGCATTGGAAAACCTAACATTGCTTTGGATAAAATCCATTTTTCTAGATTGGCCTCCTCTTCCATTGTAAGAATGGTTGTGGGTCCCATTTTCTCACTGCAGGCACTTTGCCTCTTAATTTATTCGATAAAGTACTTTTCGGAATTCCATATTTTTTACTTGCTTGGGAAATGTTCAATTTTGATTGTCTGATGAACTCTACTGCCTCTTGTAGCTGCGCCTCCGTGTATCGAAATCTCTTGTATGTTTTTTTTGGATTTTCCATATCTATAAAAAGACATCATCATACCAACCCATCTTTCCACGCAAGTAAGTATAATATTATGTAGGACAAAAGGGAATTTGTTAACGATCATTCACTGGGTATTGAAATTTACTTCGGGATCCAATAAATGAACGATTTATAAAAGAGCGTTCAATTACTGGATCGGGGCGTAAATTTAACGTTCCACTATTGTAGACTGAAAGAGCATATAAGGATCTTACGATATGAAGAACAAGGATGAATTTCATTTGCATGTTGAAATACCCAGTCAATGAACGATCTGTTCATTTACTGGTTTATCAATGGCACCAATGAATGAACGACTATATTTTCTATTTTGGCGGGAAGTTAGCGTTTTCTAGGTTATGTTTAGTATTAAAAAGGAGTATATAGGTGTCTTATTCAAGTATTTATTCACATTACTGCTGCTATGTGAGCAACATCCTTATTATTGAGAATAGCTACTTACCTAAGACGTTATAGCACTTGCTCCGATATACCACCAGACAAGAAATGTGAATTTTTCTGCCGCCGACACGTTCGTTCACTAGATCTCAGAAGTGTTATTTGTGAAACAAGTTAAGACAAACGTTCAAAATATGATGTCAATTCATCAAAAATAAGGCTAGAGGGGAGTCGAATCTTAAAAAATAGCTAAATTTGGGCTTTTGTTCAATTACTGGTACCGTTCATTTACAGGTGCATTTACTATCTTCCACATGCTCTATTATATCTCATATTTAGGGTAGTTCTGAGTATATCCAATACTTTGCATGTTTATTGACCATGGTTAATGTCAGTTATCCTAAAATTATCATTTAACATTCGAACTTTCATAATGTTTTATTGAGAATTGGTTAAACGCTTTATTATTCGGTAGGGAGAGATAGATGTACGAGCCCTTTCCCACTTCAGTTGGCCCAACTATTGAAATCTTAGTTTTTTTCTTATCAAACACAAATAATAAAAATGTACCAGGGTGTTATAGGTTTAAAATATTAACTATGAATATTTTGATGATATGTAGTAGAAAACACCAACTTTATCGCTAATCAAATTTGCAGCATAAAAAAAAACGTGTTGCAATTACAGCATATCAACCTATTTTCATTTCAATGCAAAATAAGTCTGTAACGCATAGGTGGCTGTGAAAAATAAAAGCCATGACAATTGTTTTTATTAATCACAGCTGTCAGAATACGTTTAAAATAGTTTTGGGTAGTTAAGGTTTTCAAAATGGGTAGAGGAAAGATTATTAGTGAGAAAATTCGGTTACTGGTAATTAAATTTTATAATTTTGGGAAATAAAACTCAGAAATTGCAACTTTGTTAGACTTATCGCGGTACAGTGTGAGAAATATTGTTAGAAGATATAACGTAACTGGTTCAGTTAATATTAAGCCACGATATGGGAAAAAAAGTAATATCACAAATGCCGCCCGTAGAGCATTAAGAAGAATAATCGTGAAAAACAGGAGTGTCAATTATTTACAATTAAGTGCTCTCTGGAGTGACGCTGTTGGAAAGAGAATTTCGAGGTCCACAACTCATAGAGAGGCCCACAAACTGGGATTTAGCACTTGCAAGGTAAGTTTTCTTATAAAAAAAGTGTAGTAAGAACCCTAAAGTTGCACAACTTGTTTATAGGCCAAAGAAAAGCCACTATTAACTCCACTGCAAAAAAAAATCGGCTTAGATGGGCTAAAGAACATAAACAATGGACACCTCAACAATGGTGTGCAATACAATGGAGTGATGAGGCCCGTTTCGAAGTTTGTTGTGGTGACAGTCGCAGTAGAGTTATTCGCAAAAGAAATGAAGCATTCCATGTTGACTGTCTGAAGAGAAAAGTGAAATTTTCAGCATACATTATGGTCTGGGGCAGTATGCCATCAAAAGGAGTAGGAAAGCTTCATTTTTTTGATGTAAATGTGGATACAAACATATATTTGGCAATTTTAGAAGAATCGCTTTTACCAGTGTTGGAAGAATGTTTGACATCCAGCCAAGATTTTTGTGTTTCAGCAAGATGGTGCAGCGTACCATAGCTCAAAAAAATGGATGGGAGAAAATAATGTACCACTTTTAAAATGGGTTTCTAGCAGTCCAGATCTGTCACCTATTAAAACTTTGGGGCGCGAGATGAAAAAGGTTCTACGACAACATCCTGCTCGTACAATCACCGAACTGAGACAAAAGCTTCAAGAAATATGGGATTGTTTTACACCAAATTTATGCCAAAACTTGGTTAACACTATGCGCCAAAGAATTTCATCCGTAATAAAAAATAAAGGTGTTGTTACCCAATGGTAATCTTTCAATTGCTGCTTTGTTAACTTTGCGCATTTATTCGCACATTGTTTATTTGTTGAGGTGTTTTATTAGTTATAGGTCTAAGTGATTTCAAATATGTATTTTTTACGACTAGAGTGTATCTAAAATGTTTTTAAGAAAATAAATTGTTTTAGAAGTAAATTGTTTCTTCATGTTTAGTTTATAAAGGCATATTTTGGGACAAATCTTGAAGTGGGCCAACTGAAGTGGGAAGGGGCTCGTACTTTAGGGATGGCGCACTGGATTGTACGACGCTCTTCGGGCTTCCACAATAAATATTTGTGACCACTTCTAAACATGTTTCAAGAAATTATTCCTGTTACTTTTAAAATATATATAGTGGTTAAAACATATACTTTCCGTCAGAACAAATACCAGCGCGAGCCGTTCAAATTTGGCCGCAAATTTGGCCAGCAAGTCATTAATGCCTGGGGCAGGTAACAAAAAGCGAATAAAAGCGACGTTCGAGTGCTCGTGTTTGTTTTGGCGTGGAATAAATGAAATTTGAAGATCGTGAAACTTGTAAAAATATAGTACCTTCATCTTTGCAATTGAAAATGCAGGTTTCTGCAGACTTTCTAAAAGAGTCTGGTAGCTGTGGCGTCTGCTTTAAACTGGCTTCTAAGTTGAAGGTGTTATTTGGGTACATCTGAAAAAATTAAAAAGTACGAGTGCCTATTTGGTTTGTTATTAAGATTGTAAACGTATCATTTGTTGCTTAGCTGGATCATAGTTGGAGTAACTAATAAATAAAAATACGGTTCGAGCGGACTCAGCTTTTAGCTACTTCCAAAATTCTATCCTAAACTAGAGTTATGTTACAAAGTATTAAAGCTCCCTAATACATCTTTTCGTTCAAAATAAACTGAGACACTATTCAAAATTACTGTAAAAATAAAGAATCGTAACTCACCAACTTATACATGTTCAGGGCACAGTGCATGTAGCACTGAAAAAGAGAGCAGAATGTTTTATAAATGACCCTAATATTTTCTCTAAATGATATTTCCGATATTTACCATTGCGCTGTGATCGACGTTCCAATCTCCTTGGTGCATTTTATCAATTTCAGCTGGAAGAAAGGAAATTGCACACTTAGAAACATATATCAGCATCTTAGCCTCTTGCTTACCGACACCAACTCTATTACGGATATCTGTGAAAATATTGGAAGGATTCGCGAATGGCTGTTACAAATGCTGCTAAGGACGCTCAAAGTAAGGTACAAAGTAAAATTTTTGCTGCCTATACAATTTATACTAAGTGACATATAAATCCGAACACCCAGTTTAAATGGTTTTATTTTAATAAAAGTTGGTAAATGTATCTTACTGTAAATAACAAGTGAAAAAATTGTCAGCCTTATCAGTTGGACATTCCGGTTTTTATACTGCTCTTTTTTTATTCACTAACGCTCTAAAAACGAATATTTCAGCCGCAGTAAAGAATCAACGTTGGCGGATTTTGGTTCTTGACATCCTTTACGATCGGTTACGATGCCTAGAGTACGGAGACCTGTACGATTTCGTCAACTTAGTGAGTTTGATATGGGCCGTATAGTGGGACTTTGGGAAGCTGGACTTTCTTTTCGGGCAATTGCAGTTAGAGTGCAAAGAAGTGTAGACTCTGTGGTTATGTGTTGTCAGGCATGGCTTCGAGAAGGCCGTACGCAAAGAGCAAGGGGCACTGGACGTTGCCGTAGAACAACAGACCGTGAAGATCGCCACCTAAGATTATTGGCCTTGAGGGACCGTTTCTCCACTACCAGGTCCATTGCAAATGAATGGTTTGCAGAACACGGAAGACCTATTGGCATGCGAAGTGTTTACCGACGAATGAGAAGTTTTGGCTTGTTTTCATACCGGCCACACTGGGTCCTCCCTTTAACTCGAGAACACCGACGTAATCGCCTTAAGTGGTGCAGACAACGGTCACTCTGGGATCAGGAATGGAACAGTATTGTCTTTAGTCTCGAGTTTGTTTAGGCATGCACGATGGTCGTGCCAGGGTTAGAAGGTGACGTGGTGAAAGGAGGAGTCCGCAGTTTTTTGTTGAAAGACATCACACTGTTGGAGTTATGGTTTGGGGTGCTATAGCTTATGGTTCCAGGTCACCTTTATCTTCATCAGAGGTAACATGAACGCGCAGCGTTATATCCACGAAGTTCTAGAATCCCATCTTTTACCCTATCTTGGCACCCTGGCAGATCCAACTTTCCAACAAGATAATGCCCGACCACATGTTGCAAGGGTCACAACAGACTTCTTTCAACATAATGATGTCACATTGTTACCATGGCCACCGAGATCTCCCGACTTATCCCCAATTGAGCACGTGTGGGATATGATGGGTAGGAGATTGCTCAATTGGCAACGTCCTCCTCAGACTCTAGAAGCACTTCGAGAGGAGTTGGTGGTTGCCTGGAATGAGATACCACAGGAGGACATTGACCACCTGATCAGAAGCATGCCTAGGCGCGTTGGAGAATGCGTAGCACATCAGGGTGCATCCACACATTATTAAAGGTCAAAAAGCTTTAAAGCAGTGCAATCATTTTGAAATTTTTATTATTTACTTATTATGCTTCATTAAGTACTTATACAAAATTCTATTAAAATAAAACCATTTAAACTGGCTGTTCGGATTTATATGTCACTTAGTATACTTAATGATAGAGGAGAGGGTGGTAGATATTATGACGCCCTATTTTCATTTTTGCTAAAGAAACAACCTTATGTCTTCTCGTTAATCTTTGTGTGTCAGTATATTATTTAATCATTTAAGAGCAAATTGTAATATATGGGAAAAATAATAATGAAAATATTTCCATAAACATATTCTTTTATGACTCATGAAAACATTTATTAATTCGAAGTAGGAAGGTAATATGGCCCCGGGGGGCATATTACCGTGCAAAGATACAGTATAAATAAAACAAGCTCTCAAGGTTTTTGGCACTGAACCGATATTTCGCATTGTCGGTCATCAGAGAAACGCCGGTCACAAAACATACAAGTCGCATCGTTGTTCTGTCTGTATCTTATAAGAAAATCATCCAACCATGCTCGACCTGCTTTATCATTTTTAAAAGGTTTGGGAATATTGTTTTGAACTGTCAAATGGTGTGCTATTTTTGACATCCATTCGAGTTAATCCATAAAATATTTACTCCATGTGTAATATATATTCTACTTATTTCTCTTCTAGGTAAGGTAGAAACACAGACCTTCTACCTAATGGCTTCTGTACAACTAGTTCTGGAGACAACACACTATTACGGACGAGTTTTCTTAGAGTAGTTCTTGGCACACCAAAGGTTTTATCTGCCTTCGTGAAACCCATAGACTTAGTGCGTACGGCTTCAACAGCCCTTGTCATCTGAGCGGCACTGCAAGTATTTCTTTTCCTATCCCTCTTTGTAGACATACTTGTTCGGGGGCATCTGCAATAATTTAAAATCAATTAAGAGCCGCATTTAGTGTTCATATTATTTATAAATGAATAAAAGTATCAGCAAAGCAATGTATTTAATATGCCCCCCTGGGGACCGTATTACATACATGGGTGTATTATCAACAGGTCACAAGAAAAAAATAGAAAATTATTCAACGTACCTACCTTCGTAATATAGCTATTACTAACCCTTTATATACATACAGAACACAATAAATTTGTTTCTAAACCAACTATGGAGACAAAAACGTGTTAAATCGATCACTAACGAAATCATTTACTACTAGCCCCTTCCCACTTCACTTGGCCCAACTATTGAAATCTTACTTTTTTTCTTATTAAACACAAATAATAAAAATGTAGCATGGTGTTATAGGGTTAAAATATTAACAATAAATATTTTGATAATATATAGTAGAAAACACCAACTTTATCACTCCCTAATCAAATTTGCAGCATAAAAATAAAACATGTTGCAATTACAGCATATCAACCTATTTTCATTTCAATGCAAAATAAGTCTATATCGCATAAGTGGCTGTGAAAAATAAAAGCCATGACAATTGATTTTATTAATCACAGCTGACAGAATACGTTTAAAATAGTTTTGGGTAGTTAAGGTTTTCCAAATGGGTAGAGGAAAGGTTATTAGTGGAAAATTCGGTTACTGATAATGAATTTTTTTAATTCTGGGAAATCAAACTCAGAAATTGCAATTTTGTAGACTTATCGCGGTGCAGTGTGAGAAATATTGTTAGAAGATATAACGTAAATGGTTCAGTTAATATTAAGCCACGATATGTGAAAAAAAGTAATATCACAAATGCCGACCGAAGAGCATTAAGAAGAATAATCGTCAAAAACAGGCGTGCCAATTATTTACAGTTAAGTGCTCTGTGGAGTGACGCTGTTGGAAGGAAAATTTCGAGGCCCACAACTCATAGAGAGGCCCACAAACTGGGACTTGCAAGGTAAGTTTTCTTATAAAAAAAGTGAAGTAAAAACCATAAAGTTCCACAACTTGTTTATAGGCCAAAGAAAAGCCACTATTAACTCCACTGCAAAAGAAAAATCGGCTTAGAAGGGCCGAAGAACAGAGACAATGGACACTTCAACAATGGTGTGCAATACAATTGAGTGATGAGGCCCGATTCGAAGTTTGTGTTGGTGACAGTCGCAGTAGAGTCATTCCCAAAAAAAAGAAGCATTCCGTGTTGACTGTCTGAAGAGAAAAGTGAAATTTCCAGCATCCATTATGATCTGGGGCAGTATGTCATCAAAAGGAGTAGTAAAACCTCATTTTATTGATGGAAATGTGGATACAAACCAATATTTGGCCATCTTAGAAGAATCGCTTTTACCAGTGATGGAAGATTGTTTGCCATCCGGCCAAGATTTTGTGTTTCAGCAAGATGGTGTAGCGTGTCATACCTCAAAAAAGGCTATAAAATGGATGGAAGAAAATAATGTACCACTTTTGAAATGGGTTTCTAGCAGTCCAGATCTGTCATCTATTGAAACTTTGTGGCACGATATGAAAAAGGTTCTACGACAACATCCTGTTCGTACAATCACCGAACTGAGACAAAAGCTTCAAGAAATATATAATTTTTGCCAAAACTTGATTAAAACTATGCCCTAAAGAATTTCAGCCGTAATAAAAAATAAAGGTGATGTTACCCAATGGTAATCTTTCAATTGTTGCTTTGTTAACTTCGCGCATTTATTCGCACATTGTTTATTTGTTCAGATGTTCTATTAGTTATAGGTCTAAGTGATTTCAAATATGTATACTTTACGACTAGAGTGTATCTAAAATGTTATTGCGAAAATAAGTTGTTTTAGAAGTAAATAGCTTCGTCATGTTTAGTTTATAAAGGCATATTTTGGTACAAATCTTGAAGTGGGCCAACTGAAGTGGGAAGAGGCTCGTACACACTATACTACAGGAATGACAATACTGGCCGAGCCGATCGATAAGTCGAATCATAGATGGTGCTCCGAGTTCTATGAAATTACGCAGCAGCAGGGACCATAATACCACCTTCTCCTCTACAAAGTATAGCCAGGATGCCGTACTTATTTTCATGAAATAATCATTATAAGCTGCCAAAGTTCAAATATGATGGATGTGGAAGTCATTACTTATTTTCTGGAAAATAAAACGTGGGATATTGATATTGATTTTACAAAGTCATATTTAGCACTGCCAAACACTTTCCACCAGCCATAACTCCAGCGACTGGTTCAACAAATCGTGTGACTCTGCTCGTCGGCAGAAGATTAAGGCACACAGAACCTTCTTATAAAACCCCACTGTAGAGAACCGACAAGCCGATGTCGAGTCTAGAAACATACGACGAAGCGGTTCGTCAAAGACCAACACGGTGTAAACATCAGGTACAGGTTATTGTGGGCGCTGGCCAAGCAGACAGAGGGGAACTTTTCAAGGAGCAGCCTTCCGCGGCTGACCTTCCATGATGGAACGATTGTAACAGACACTCAAAGACTAAGCAGAAGTGCTTGCCAAAGACATTGCTGCCAATTTCACCATGGACGTCCGCCTCTAACGCCCCAGTCCGCCGATTCAAATGGGTCCCTACACTATGCGAGAAATTCTAGCTTCCGTTTTTATCTTCCACATATCTTACGATCCGTCCCTTTACCAGAAAACTGGAATTTGCTCATGTCCAGCTCATCCCAAAAAAAGATATAAGATGGACACTTACAACTACAGGCCCGTAGCTCTGCTTTATGTAAAAAGTAAGGTGATGGAGAGATGCAGATCAGGAGTTTCTGGAGTACCTTAAACGTGACGGTTTGACTAACAACAGGCAATATGATTTCCCGTACCAGCGATCCAGGTGGGACCTCCTAGCTTATGTCACGCAAGTGTGGAGTTAGCTCATCTAGTCTTATGATAAATCTCATTTCGTCGTTCTTTGTATCACGAAAGCGTTCGGTCAGCTGTGGCATTCTTCCATCCTATGGCCTCTCAGAGAAGCTTTGCAGATGGCCTGCTGACTTTCTTTCACATATATCTATCGTAATTGACGGGTTCTCCGCTTCATCACACAATGTTAACGCAGGTGTTCCCTTGGGATCGCTCTTGGTTTCGACATGGCTCCTCTTGGTACAATATAGTATGTCATTGTCTCATTGTACTGAAGAAGATAATAGTAATCGTTTTCATTGACCAAAACTTGGTAATTACATTACCATCTGATGAACTTGTGATTGTAATGTTTACTACCGTAAAGAAGATCTGTCGATGCATGCGGTTTTATTATAAATATACATGTTAAGAACATTGCCAATTTGGAAGCACCTTAAAATAAGTTCTTATGAATCAACGTTGTACTTCTAGAAGGTACTTCGTTGGATTGAAATCTTCGTTTCCTAACGTTCAAAAACATGATCAAGTAATACGCCTGTCCTCACAATGCACAGCACTACTCAAATAATAATATAACTGGTTAGCAATTGCTTTGATTTCAGAGGATTTCACAACGAGAACCATTTCTTCATTGAAGCGAACTTACTCTCTTGAAATCATAAGATTACTTGATTGCAGATACCTGTGATGTTAGATTATATTTCGAGAGTACATATCTGTGTTATTGAATCAAACGATCTTTTTTATAATTTTAGTTGTAAAATGTGAAGGATAATAGCAGAAACTGCTTACCAGGTGGAGTCTTGTGTTTATTTTGGCAGGTATTTCTAGCCAATTTTACTGCAGCCCACATTTGTTTCTCTGTCATCTGTAATGGAATATCTAATTTAGAGTGCCATGTTGCGATTTTCGGTGATCTCAGCAGGGCATTCAACTGTGTCGATTACGTTGTCCTACTGCATAAGCATGATCAAATTGGAATATATTATATATTCCTTTCTGTGTTTTTCTGTTTTCTCTGACTAATAGAAGTATGTATGTGTTTATCACAATAAGCATAACGTAATTAAGCATATTAAGTCAAATACAAATACTGTTACTGTTGGTGTGCCACAGAGGTCAATTTTAGGACCGATTTTTTTCAGACTATACAATAAACGCTTTAAGTGGCTGCTTTCATGGTCCCAAATTCACGTTATATGCTGACGACAAATCCATTTTGCTATCAAAAACCTGTGACGACCAGTGGATGTTTCAGACGGTTGGTTGGCAGAACAAACAACAATATTACAGTTCCACAATTCTCAGACGAAACTAATACTAATAAACTTCAAACTCAAGGATGCACCACTGACAGCAAAGGTTAGAGTGAAGTTTTGGGGGATTTTTCTAGAACTAGGTTACAATTTCAATGGTTATGTTGTTTCTAAGCTGTATTCGCAGGATTTTGCAATAAGAAAAGAACTAACAATATCCAGGCTTCGGTGTGACTTACGCTTTTGTGGTAGCTCGCCATATGCCAAGCATGCGTTCACCTGCCAAAAGAAGATATGGCAGGAGAGAGTCGCACTCACTACTGCAAAGAAGTTTTTAAAAAGTATTTCCTTCATGATTCATCTTGGAGATGGCTCCTTACGCCTCTAATCAGCAAAAAATCATTGTGAATAATGAGTTATGCAATTTTGGTACAAGGCCAAGCGAACAGTTGCATGTTCATTATTCTAAATACAAAATACCTATATTAAAAATATCCCAACAGTTAGCTGTCTAAAAAAAGTAAAGATGTTTCTTCCAGAAAAGTGCTACTACTCAGTCACTGACTTTGTTACTTTGTAAGTGTTAATTTATTCTGTGTGATAAGTCCTACATATATATTTTCTTGTCTTCCGGATAATAAATATTATTATTATTAATAGAGCTGACACAAAAGAGGATGAATACTACTTTCTTAAATCCGTTTGACTGATATAGAAGTGCATTAAAATATTAATATTCACTTTAGATCGCTCGGGTTGTGATAGCACAGCAATAATTTTGTAACTCTAACTAATGGAGTACCTGTACCTGTCATCTAAAAAATTAACAGTAAAGTAACAAAAATATCGTCCAGTGATTGCTGTCATTTGATAGAACAGATGACTGATACAGACCTTGGATACTAGGCCATACGAAAACGATTATCAATAATGCATCCAACCAAAACATTTTTACTTACCCCTGTAACATATACAAGAATATACAATGAACTGAACAACAGTAAAACTGATTTCATTTTACACATATTACCAGCTACGCAACGCCTTGAATGAAAGAAAAATATGAATGAATCTCTTGCTAAATAAACCTATCACTCACGACATCATAGGAAACATGAAACTGTGTTATTGGCGATAATTTTTAATTACTGTGTTTGAAGAAAAAAGATGGTGAGGTTCATGTCGATAATTGATGTGATATGTCTTAATCAATGCTTATTAAAAAAATACCCGTTTTTCTTCAACGGAAGTCTATAACTACCGGATTAATAATAAAAGGGAATCTGTGTAATTCTGATTACTCAGACGACGAAAAAACCTTTGGATAACGTACTGAATATGCCGATAAATAACAATATACGTTTTCATAATACCTCAATTTTTAGGTGTTCAGCATAGGTAAATCTACAGGTTAGGAAGTTTCAAGACTTTACAATCCTCCCTTGGATATTGTAAGTTCTCACTTTAAAACTTTCCATCTGTTGCACTTACTTGCAAGCTATATGTAGCTTTGCATTACCCATTTCAGATGTCTACTTTGGTTTGATGTTGGAGAAAAGTGCCATAAACTGGACCTGTTACTCAAGGCGAAACCCTGGACTTAAAGCTCTACATTTTTCGATATTCCATTATTGTCAAGTGTAAATAGTAGCTCAGGTATCTACTGCGCAGCCCGCGTATTTTGCTCGTTCACGATTATGTGTTCTGGTTCTGCAAACAGTCGTTGTGCTGTGGTCCAATGTTCATCACTATTCCTACACATTTGTAATAAGTCGGTAAACCTATATATTTTCCTAAGTGAAAAAAGTTCCTAGCTTCGTCTTTCAAATGAAATTCATTTGGATGTTTAGTTCAAATGTTATTGAGCCAGTTTTTGGTGGTGCATATCGGGCCACTTTCAGTTGCCTAAATCTAGTACGTTCTATTTTTTTGAAATTCGTTCTCTTTTTTATTCAGAAAGGACAATGGGAAAATTAGTAAGATGGAATGGAGTCCTCCACAAATAGCTAAACTATTGATGCTTGCTGGATTAAGAAGATGGGATAGAAGAAGGCAGTCTTTTCTGATTAAAGAACTAATAGGTATCTGTTTTATAAATATATTCATATATTTCAAATCAGAAATACGTGAGCCTTTTATAAATGAATTTTATTAACTTGTGAAGTAAATGATGCTAAATGAATATCTAAAAAAATTAAAGTACTATCAGACTAGCAATCTGGTTTAAGGTCAGGACACAGCCTTAGCACGGGTTACCGATAACACTATTTCAGCTTGCGATAAGGCTCTAGCTGCGTCTTCAATTCTACTGGATTTTAGCAATGTGTTTGCTATGTTAAACCATAAATTACTCGTATAAAAATATGAATATTTAGGCTTTGATAACGATTCATCAAAATGATTTTGATTAGAAAATCATTTATGCAGCAGAACACAATACGTTAGCATTGGCTCGACTAGCAAAATTGTCTGTACTGGTGTACCTCAAGGTTCCATGCACAACCCAATCTTATTTCTATTAAATACATTTCTAAATTGCAAAGAGCAATTTTACTCAGATGATACACGAACCTATCATAGCTAGGATCCTGATAATACACATCTTACAACTATTAAATGCCATTTAAAATAGTGTCATTCTACGATTCTAAGTAGTAACAGCAAGACAAGGCACTTTTGTTAATTTATGATGCCACCATGCACCTCATTTATGGGGAATGTTTTATTTTATTTATTTACCAAATTTACGGGTGACTCCATTTTTACAAAATAAAATCACGGAATGGGAACAACATTTTCAACATGCAAGCTCACAAGACATAATTATTAAAACCACAATTTAAAAGATATTTTTTAAAGCCTGAGAGTGTACAGGTAAAAATGTCAATATTAGACTGAGCTAAATTGAGAACACGAGAGGCTGTATCGAGTGGAGAGTGCTGATAATGGATTGTGGGATGGAACTTAATCGCAAGCAGACTATTATTAAGAAACGTTCTACGGGGTACATTAAGATTTATTAAGGTTAACAAAGTTTCGCAATTAGTGATCCCCAATGAAATCGTGAAAGCGAAACAACCATCAAAGACCAAGCGTCTATGCTCCAATGTAGGTAAACGCAAATGTTCTAACATGTCAGCTCTATGATACTCCGTCATGTTTAAGTTCCTCTTTAATGCTGCAAGACGTAAAAAATTATGTTGGACACGCTCTAATCATCTTTATAACACTGGTACTGAGGGGACCATACTACTGTGGCATATTCTAAATTTGATCTTACTAAGGAGCAATATAAAATTCGGAAGGTATTGATTGAAAAACACATACAATTTCTCCAAACAAAGCCCAGCACTTTATACTAACTTTGCTACCAGTAAACCTAAAACCTGCAAAAAAAAACTACAAATTTGCCATATTTTTCTTTCTTCAGAAGTACACATTCTAGGTTATATTTATATTAGACATTATTTGAATACAGCTGATTATTGCATTTCAAGGAATGACGCATGTGTGGGATGTGTCAACTCTTGGTACCAGTCACAAAACATATACTCTGAAGGTTTAATTCCATGCTATTCAATGACAACACGGTGACTTGTGTGGTTGTCAGCGGCCATTTTGTGAGGGTGCGACAGGGTTGCCAGATTGTGCATTAATATCCCGTTTCACCCTCCTGGTCCCAGTGGAGTAAGTTCCGCCAACTGTTGAAATATACTCTACTATGCTTTATAATACTATTCGTGACATGTTTCCCAAAATCATTGCACAACACTTGAAAAAATGCAAATGAAACTTTAAAATTATTTCCATGATGCCGCAAAATAGCTCTGTCGGTACCTTGGGTTAAACATCTTGACAGTAGGGATGTTCGATACGATCCTATATTTAGAAGTATCAATACATTTCACGAGTATCGTCATCTTTCGATCCGGACTGTGTCAGAAAGAGTGACTGCCATTTGGCTGCGACATTACCATGCCAAATCAGACATATCTTTCATCATTTTCAAAGAAATTGTACAAAATCTTCAAATTTGTGATGTTGGCGAGTTTTACTTCATACGTTGTTACCAGACATGCCCAAATCATCAGTTGCTGTCGTGATATTCATCCTGACCACTGCATCCCCACGGATAGGCGACCTGTATGTTAAATTTGTATTGATAGGGACGCGGGTTATGCTATAAATCATATGTCACAGTGTTTGTGCACTGATTGCAACGGTTAGATGATACCAAAAATATTTTCATAAATAGGAGATCTTTCCTATTCCGGATCGAACAATCTACCAAGATGATACCTAGTAAATTTTCACGAAAAAAAAATCAAAACCAGCAAATGTAAAAGATTCATTTCGCACCCTCCACCACGGGACGTGATCGTCGTTAGACTTGGCAACCCTGTGTCAGATAGATATCCCCGCCAGTCAAAAAAGAAAAATAGACAAACAATAAACATTACTATTTTTATTTTTATTTTAAGTCATAATTAATAAACGATTACTATTATGACGTAAAGGAAGATGAGGAATTGGATCGAATGTATTTTATATTCTATTTTCTTGCAAAATACAGACAAATCCTCTCTATTCAACAGGTAAGTAATGATAACTTTCAGTATATTGAAGTTGGTAAATTCGAGAGTGCCATGCAATAACAAAGGTCCAAATCTGCTGCCAAATTTAACAGCTAGAAAATCAAAATATTATTTGCCGCATTCCCATTCGCTGGATTGTTAAATGTAAACCTATAACCTATATCAAAATACATGAAAGTTGTCCTGTTTTTTCTGTACAAAAGCATTATGTTGGAATCAAAAAGTGGTCTTGTTTATAATACAGTCGAATTTTCACGATTTTACTCAATATTTCAATAGAAATCACTAATATTCAGAGACCTTTGACAGCTTTTGTCAAATTCCATTTCGATAAGGTATTTTCCCATTGGTCCATAATATCAATGTTGGTGAAATCGGTACTTATAGTGTTTTCTAAAAAACCATAAGCTGACAGATTTGCCATAAGAATGTTGAAGTTTACTCTGTCGGAGGCTTTGGAAAAG